CTAAAAATTTGAAAACTTATTTTACTAACAGGCATAACGCAATTTTTTTTTTATAACTGATGTCCCGTTACCATAAAGTAATTCTAAAGAAACTTTGTATGTACGTCAAATGTGAAAATAATTGTGTATGTACTCCTGGCTAAGCTTTGTTATACAGTCGACTCCACTTAATTGCATACCGGATAATTGCATAATTCGGTTAATTGCATACTTTTCTCCTGCACCAAACCATTCCCTATAGATATAGTGTTAAATTATCCGGTTATTTGCATGGGCTAGAAGTGACATTTCGGTTTATTGCATAGGAAAAAAAATTAATCTGTATCAGATGTTATTTGCTAAATTGTGCCTCTCTCGCAATTGTTTTGGTAAGTACCGATGAAATCCTTGGGCTGTATGGCAATATATGGTAGTATATAGCAGATTTTCATATGCGGTGTCCTTAAACGAAACGAGACGCTCTTTCTAACACCATCTCTATAAACTATTATTGAAATCACCAGTGCAAATATATATATATATATATATATAAAAAAATTGATAAAAATTAAATCACTCAGAATTAAAGTATGAGAAAGTATTTTTTTTTCAACATATTTTTTTCATTTATATACCTAAATATTTGATAATATTTAATTGCTGTGATGCCATCCTACATATTTAATTTACATAACCGAATTATCATTATTAAGGTAGCACAATACAAAGATTTTTTCATCCCCAATCAGACAACTTTAAACTGATGTAATTTCTTTCATCCAGCTTTGAATTTTATAAATGAGGTACCAAAAGAAAGAAGAAAGATTAATCTTTCAAATGGTGATTATTTCATTATGACATGATTATTACATAATTAATTATTATGTAATTAGTTGCTATATTGTGATGTCCACACTTGAATGTAATTAGCTTCTTTGTTATTCATACCATCCCAAAATATTTTATAGATTCTTGTGCAACACAGTTTGACCTCCAAAAGGGTGTCTCAGATTTTTCATATTGTATTTCATTCTCTCATAAAAATTCAATGAAGTTTGCAACCTCAATTCATAAGAGATCACTAAATTAAATTGGGTATAAAAATTTTTCTATTGATGTTTTGGGAAATCTGAGACACCCTTTTGAAGATAACTGGTCAAGGAACAACATGTGTGAAAATCAAGCATATAGAGGCACCCATCTAGGAGCTAATTTCATTTAAAACTACATTTTCATGACAAAAATGAATGTGTCACAATTGAATAAATAAGGATTTTCATACTTGTACCCCTTTAACTTCAATATAATTCACACATGTATCATGGGAATACTTCAGGATTGGCCTTTAATCATAAATCAATTAGGTTTTGACCAGTAAGAAAGCATTCCAATTCAGCAATTCTAAATATATAAAGAAAATGCACACCCTATGCATCAACAATCAGATCTGGCGGGAGATGTTATATCATTATTGACCTTGCTGTAAGTCAGTTGCTACTGATATGGTAAAAACTCCGCTCACCATGATAAACCTTTACTATTAATGATCTCAGAAGTTTAATTACACATTGCATTTACTTTTTTCAATATGGATTTTATTCTTTTAGTACATAAAATGATATATTTTGTTTTTTGCATTGTTACAAAAAGTAAGTTATGCATGTGTACACAAAATGATCAGTTGGTCAGTCTAGAGGATCCTTATGGGGGGATTTCTAGAATTATAATTGTATACAATGACAATATGGTGTTTTACACAAAGTAGATTGTTTTCATTTTTTGCAATTTGAAAATGAAGTATTTAGTTTGTATTTTCTTTTAAAAAGAATTCATATTTAAACATTTTCTCAAGAAATTCTAGTATAAACATCAGCAACATTTATTGTTGTACAATTATATTTGTTTCATATCTGTACATTTATATTTGGATTCCCTCTTTAGCTCCAAATAGTTGTTTTGTTTTTTCTCCTGACATCTCCAATACAGAAATGTATTTTTATTTGGAATTTATTATCTTTCATTTTTCCATAAATCCCTAATCCACCTCTTTTTCATAACTGTTATTTTTATTGCTGGTCAGTGGTTGTAAAGCTATCAAATGATTCTATTGATTAACCACATAGTACTGCCCACATGTTCTTATCTTGTATCAGTCAGACACGTGCATTTGTTTATAAAACTAATTATCATCAAAACTCATTAACACTGCAAGATATGTAAATAATTTTTTCTTCAGTGGTTTTTGAATATTAAGAAGTAACAAAAACAGCTGAAAATGAAATTTTGATAAAATTTAGTTGCTTTTGTATTGTGCTACCTTAAAACAGGGAATTCCTAGCTTTACACTCACACGTTAGATTACTGAGCATTCGGGATTTTGAGGAAAGTCCTTGTCACAAGATTTTTGTTAACCGCCATGACCTGATATGTCCTCCTTTTTGATAATTATTTGTCGATATTTTTCTTCTGTCCTAACATCGTTGATTTGAGATTTATATTCAATCTCTTGGTATCTAGCAATTGCCGTGTTTTATTTCTTTTATAGTTTGTATCTCTATTTGTCTTGTCTGTCCTCCAATGATTTTATTTTTTTAATAGTTCTTATGTATTCTTAAACTTCCCAGAAATCACAATCTGTATCTATTTCATAATTTAAACCATAGAATGGAAAATGTTTACAAAAACTTTCGAATAGATTAAACACACTATTCAATTGATAAAGATAATATCACGGACATATAAAATAAATAATACAATTTTGTAGATGAATCAGCCAGCGTCTGAACGGATGATATTGTGATTAACATTTTGCATTTATTCTCTGTCTTGTTTTATATTTGAATGTTGCTTTCATTTTATAGTTTAAATTTGTAGCATTTAAAAATCTATTTAAACAGATCATAAATTTGAAAGGCTTTGTTTTATATTCGAAGATGTAAAATAATAGATATATGAAACAAGAGACTATATTTACAATATATCACTGTCACAACATCACAAAACAATGCACAAATGAAGCACATCGTTTCATCAAAAGAAACAACGGTCTCCATAAATTAAACATTTGACATATTTTCGGGAAAAAAACTGTGAACAAATAAAGAAACAATGATCATTTTGAAAAGGTTGGCCCTATAATTCACCTTAACGATCATTGTAATACAATGGACAACACCCTTTATGTGATAACTACATCAATAATCAATCAGACATTGATTTATCATAGTAAAATTACATTTATGCCCCAGGAATATATTTCAATGTAAAGCTGCATGTAAGACTTTACATTAAACAGATAGGCATCGACATCATTCTTAATTTTAAGAATTTTGAGTATGCAGCAAAAACACCCAATTTAGAAATTAACGATTTAAATGCCATGGAACATGATCATATCTCTGTTGAAAGGCCTTAGCCGAAAAAATTGTTATCTGCTGATAAACTATAGCAAATGTTTCAAAACTTGGTATATTTCAACAAGATATTGATAACAAAAAGTCAATTTCAAAATTTCTAGATAATAATCTCTATCCGTTCCAAAGATATGGACGTTTGAAAATACATTGAAAAACAGGTGAAATCTCAATTTGTACACTATTCATGTTATCTCAATGGTATTCTCAATTTTGAGTAAAACGTAATAAAATAAAAGTAAGTATATGATAGTTTGCACACATGTACACACATAGTTAATGCTTAATTGATAAGTAGAAATGAATTTGCCAATTTTGATAACTGGAAATCATCTTAATGATGTTTATATTTGGCAATTCACAAAATAATTTCCGTAGTTTCCTGAAAATGAATTTATATTTTGGGACCAATACTAACAAAGGATGTATAACTGTCTACATATTTTTGCAGATTTTTCAATTTAAGCATTTTCCAGTGTAGGGCTTTTCACTAAAATTATAATTGCTATATTATACTTTAAGACTTAATTTTTTAACTAAGCTCCTTAAAACTTAGTGCCTTTAGGTAATTGGAATATGTTGTTTGCATGTGCTATTGTTTTAATGTTAGTTATATATTTATATATTCGGACAAAAGCTCAGTAGAACTTGTGTTTTATTGTTTAATACACTCCGAATCAAAATTAAGTTTTTATATCTTATTTTTTTTCGCAATAAAGTCCCCGTTATGGTTTTTGATACATTTATCCTATTATGATAATAACAGTTTTTCAAATGTAATTTTTTTTTATGTAAGGACTGGGACTAAAACATTATGTTTTAGTCCAAGGTAATAAATTTTTTTTTTAAATTAATATGCATGTATTTTGAAATATAATTTATCATTATTTTCATTGAAACTTATTTTCATAGCAATAGTCATTAAATAAGAAATAAACTAAGGAAATTTAAGGAATGCATTCTAGTTTCTAGCAGAAGTCAACAGCATAAGTTATAGTTATGTATATATATATATATATATGCTAGTTTGATTTTTCTCTAATAAACATTATTCTTCTCTAAAAATGACGGTGTTCTTATGGTTGTTAGACATCTTTGTCTATTCATAATGAATTGATATGCAGTGGCGGATCAAGGGTGTTCAAGGAATGGGAAGGACACATTGAAAATAGGAGGCAAAGGCATTAACATAAGTGCCGATGGTGCGGCAGTAGAAAAATTGAAAAAAAAGGAAAATACATTTATTAAAAAAAACATAATTAGAAAACCCTCCCTTACAAAAAATAATAATAAAAAAAAAGACACACACAAATAAACCCAAGAGGAGTTAAAAACTGTTGCAATTTGTACTATGCGTAATGAATCTGGAAATACGTAATTCCTACATAAGAACATACGTGCAAGATTAAAACACTGAACGCACTTATTGTGACACTTTGTCAGTTAAAAATACAAGTTGTAACAGTGTTAACATGTTTGGTAATACCTAAACCGTCATAAAAAGACTATAATGATCTATTTGACAATGACATCAATGTCATTTCTGTCGAGTGATCACTCCCCTCAACTGTCATCCTTACTACATGTTCTGTCCTGACCATTCCACCAGTGACCAGCGAATTTTATCCATGGAATTAAGGAAATTGTAAAGTTTGACGGTTTAGAAAAATCAACATTGTTTTGAAATTTTGGAATTTAATTGAACTTTGTAATAGTTTGTATGCTGTATTAGGACTTGTTATCATGAGGCATTTTATATCCTTAGTACCGACTTATATGATGTGTGTATTATTAATAGGTAAGTAGATCTACTATGAGTGTTTACAGGGTAAGGGTATACATATTATACATATAATTTGATAAGTTTTGTAATTTGTATTAATGTAAGAGTACAAACACAAGTAAACAGAGACAATATTTTAACGATTTTCAACTTTTTCGTAAAAGAAATCGAGGTTAAACATGTTTAAAAAACGGACTATATTATGTTGTCAGCATACTATTACCATAATTTTCATTTCAATATGAAAGTGTTTAAAGTGATTATGGGATTTTAAATTAAACAACTAGACTTATTACTTCTAGAGATACATTTTTTCTTTTAAATGTGTGTGAGGTATAGAGTCTTTATTTACATAACTAGAACATTTGAAGCCGTATGTATTCTCGTTAAACCCATATCATTATGATTAAATTTCTGTATATGGCGATATTTCCACCATGATAATGTTGAAAGATATTTTTATAACCTATATGTTGTTCCACTTCCGTTTATAATCTACGTTTTTGTTGTTTTAGGAGCTCTATCCAATAAATCGGAAGTACTTCCATGAGTGGTACTTTTATGAACCTTTTAGACCCTGCTAAAAATAACTTGTTATTTAAGATTCGAGTTTTGAGTTTAAAACAATAATGAAAAATCGAAACTTGTTCAAGCAGAGCAAACTTTAGTCTTTAAAGGACTTGAGGTCCCAGTCCCTTAATATTCTATAGCAATTAGAAATTCCAGGAAATTAATGACCTCGCCGGTAGCACGTGTTCATGATGATATTCCAATGTTCTCTGTGAAAGGTCATTTTTACTTTTTTTTTAAGTGTTCATACGATCGAATGTCCGTGGATCAGATGGACGTTTAAAGTAAAGAATTAAATTTTAATGCTTTGATGACCCATTTTTGGGGATTTTAATAGCACAAACAAATCATAGCTTTATTTCTTTAGATTGACTTTCGGAATAAAATTTGATATTATAAAGTGGGAGTCAAATGACAACCCTGGTGAACTGCACAGAAAAGAGTAAAAGGAAATTATTATTACATAAGTTTTACATTTTTTGTTTGGTTTGTTTATTTTTAGCCTTCTATACACACCTGAGATTATCAAGTACTGTCGGTACAAAACAACCTCTCCACGTGTTTTATTAATAATAAAATGTTGACATTTTTTTGCCATGTATAGGTTCTCACACTTGTCACTGTGTTACGTTTCAATACACTAAATCACGTGACTAAATTGTGTCATAAAATTGTCACAACTTTACACAGTCAAAGTAAATGAAACATCTACAAACAGCGGTCAAATGTCAAGATATTATTGTATACGTCAAAATTTTTATCCTTATCATGTTGACACGAAAAGACTCATTGACTTGTTGATTGTCTTTTTGAGAGAGAGTGTGCAAGGGAAGACTGTAGGATATATGACAGATAATAATAAAAGTTAATTTGTAAGCTTTGCAAATCAGAAGCCAGCAATATATTGTGTGTCAATTGTTGCTGTTACATCATATTTGTTTTTCGTTTATTGTTTTGTACATAAATCAGGCTTGTCTCGTTTGAATTGTTTTACATGTGTCATATCAGGACCGTTCAGTTGAAGCTTTCTATGCGGTATGGCTTTTTCTCATTGTTGAAGGCCAATCGGTGACCTATAGTTTCTAACTTCTAGACCTCAGTTGGTCTCTGGTGTAGAGTTTTCTCATTGCCAATTATACTAAATCTTGTTGTTTTTATATAAACCGAAATTATGTAAGGAATTTCTTTTAGCTTCTTCCGGTAATACAGAAAGGTATTTCAAAAATCATTTACCTTCTCTGATAAATCTTCTACAAACAGCATATTAGTTACATGGACGTTATACATGTATTATTAAAAAAACACTCTTTTTTTGGCAAATATTATTTGATTTTTAATGAATGGCGGATACAATTGGTATGCAATGACATTTATTAACATCTCCTGGTCAAATTCACCCACATATAACTTCAATGTTTTGTATTTTGTTGTAAAATTAGCCTTCAGACATATGGTCTAGATAGGGAAGGTGTGAAGTTTGTATGCTCGTATATTTTTTATGTTTCACTAACAAATGTAAGAAGCAGTAAACGAAAGTAAAATTCTAATTTTAAAGTCAATTCAATTGTATATCTTTTATAAACAGAACACACCACGACTACTTTTTGGTTGCATTCGAAGGCTTTTTTTTTTAAATCTATCAAGAATAAGAAATTTTCTGGATAATTTCTTTTAGAAAAACCCAGAGCCTAAAGTTTACCAAGATTGTAAAGTAATTCTGACATGCTGCAATTAGTAGCAACATTTTATTTTCTTCGCTGTGAAGTTATTTAGTTTTCGTAATTTTGCGTTATAACTTCACAGTATTAAAAAAAATAGCTGATTTTTTTGTGTGGACACAGTTTAATTATTGTACTGGTCTTTCCCCTCACATTGACACACCAGTAATTTATTGTACTGGTCTTTCCCCTCACATTGACACACCAGTAATTTACATACCTATATAATTATATAATATGTTAATTGAGGAACTGATCAGTTTACGTAGTATATAATTCATTGTGTAATGTGCTAAAACCTGTACTTCCAATCTTTGATAAACCTTAGTTACATATTTTATTAGGTAATTACAAAAGCTAAGCAAAATTACAATATTTGAATACGCATCATCGTTACTGACGCTGACATTGACACAACACTCCGAGTACTTGAGACTGGGAATATTCAAGGTCTTGATATGATCTTTGTAACCATGCTGTTGCAGGAGACATTAAGATTGTTCAACACCGGGAGGTTATTATTTTCTGAAGAAGGAATCAATTTATGGTACACCTTCTAAATTAACTGGAAGGAATGTCGCAAAGTCATTAGCGACCCCATTTCTTCTTACTGCAAATTTTGCTGCTAAAAAGAGAAAGTTAGTAAAACTATCATTTATTTCATCCTTCATTATGGTTAATTATTGCATTAAACACATCGAAAGTAACTATAACATAGAAAATCTTATAAAACAACAACAAGACTTGAAAAACAAATTAAATACCATCGGAAGACGTTGTGTGTTTGTTTCAGCTGACAAAGCCGCGAACGATGTTGTTGTTGCTTGACGTTCGTACTACACTGAGACACTCTGAAGTTATACGTTCATACTAGATAGTTCTACTGAACAATATAGTAACTGGACACGTTTCAATAACGTTTAACTGAATGCTGCAACTAAACACTACTAAGTTTGACCCAACGCATTGAGTCCCTATATTAAACTAAATTAAACCTTAAAAATTTCGCGTTATATCTGCATTCAGTAAAATGATTAATGAAAATTGTTCTTGATATTTTGACTATGGCTCTTATAACGTTAATGTACTTGTAAAAACAATGCGATAATATTTGTGTTCCTATGTCTGCAGTTATCTTATAATTGTGTCCCCTTATAGCAGATTTGTTCCTTTACTGGTATTTATCTCAGTAAATGGATAAGATTCATAGAAAACCATTTGCACAACTTGATTAATATTTTTAACAATATTTACATATATTCTGACGGCACTCTGTACAATTCATATTTTTCTAGATATGCTAAAATTGTATGTTCATCTGAACTTGCTGTTACTAAATCAAACCTTCTTAGTGATCATTCTCCGTATTAGAATATCTCTTGATAATTATTGTGTAGGTAACACACGGGAAGACTTTCAGTTTCAATTTGTTTACTTTTCTTTCCTTAATGTTCGTTTCTTTCTTCTAAACATTTCACAGCTGGTTCAATATGTCAGCGTTAGCAGTGAGGATTTCAATAACTGTAATATTTTTAATTTCCAAGAAATTACAAAAGGGATATAAATAAGATACATAAAGTAAACAGGAATTTGTTGTGAAAGTACTATTCGACTTGCAAGAATGTTATACTAGTACAAAATGTTATTTCACATCCCGATTTTTACAGTTCTATGATTTAAAAATCAACACGTTTAGGCCTTAATTATCCTTCAAATCTTTTTGTTTTGCTACTTTATCTGAATTGTAGTAAGGTCGCGTCTTCTCGAATCGCATAAGACGTTGTTGTATAAAATTCCTTAACAGATAACCAAATTATAACCCCCCCCACCCCACCCCAAGATAGCTCAAAACCCTCAATTCTTATGTTTTTTTCGTCAGTTTTTGAGTAACTATTCTAAAAATGTATAAAACGGACATTCTTATCAACTCCAAAAATTCAGTTGATAAAAGTTTATAGTGTACGATACTGTATAGACTCTCAAGTATTCAATGTCCAATAAGATTTGACAACTTGTAGACTATGACAAAGATTAGATTATGACTTTGTGAGGCAAACAATTATAGGTTAAATTGACCCTACGTCTTTATAAGATATCCTTTATCAAAAAAGTTAAATAAAAAAAAAAAAAAAAAAAAAAAAAACGAATTGTCTGAAATAGTTATTGACGAGTAACAAGTTATCTGTTTACATAAATAATAAGATTTCTATAACATAAATCTGTCAATACGTCCCACGCAAAGTAATGACCATGAGAGGTAAATTCATCGACCACTTTCTGACAAAATTAATGGCAACATAATAGTTATTATCCACATAAGACTTTATAGTTCACACATACCGTTTAGAATAGTTCATATTGAATATTTATACTATCATACATTTATAGCTGACTATGCGGTATGGTTTTTACTCATTGTTGAAGGCAGTACAGTGACCTGTAGTTGTTAATTTCTGTGTCATTTGGTCTCTGGTGGAGAGTTGTCTCATTGGCAATCATACCACATCTTCTTATTTTTATATGTAAGAAGTTTAGGTTTAATCCACACATACCGTATAGAATAATCTTATATTGAACATACATACTATCTGAATGTGAAGACTTTAGTTTAATGTAAGGACTTTTGGTTTAATCCACACATACCGTTCAGAATAATTTTATATTGAACATAAATACTATCATAAATGTGAAGAGTTTTAGTTTAATCCACACATACCGTTCAGAATA